GTTGCGGACACCTCGTCAGCAGAATATGACAACGTAAAAATTTCAACCGAGTCGGTTTTAACGAAAATGACGCTCAGCAAATAAATTGATAATCGAGAAGCCATTCTTTGAATTTTTGTACTGCAAATAATTCTGACAAATCACAGTGTTACGTTTTTCATTCTTTCTTTCTTTTTCTACATATTAATATTGTATATTCCTTGTACATAGAGAGAAAAAAATCAAAAGCGGCACTGAAAACAAGTGGTATAAACGAGTTTAGTAAGGTTCTTTTGTTTGATTTATTTTTATTCCATTTGTTGCTTTTTTACCCTCTTTTCCAGACCAGTGAACTGGAACTCGAGACCTTACTTTTGTCATTTGGAGGAGCAGTGGATGTGAAAAGAAGGGAAGGGAAAGGTCAAGTGCTTTTTTAAAGTAATCCATTTTAAACATATTGTAAACAACAAAATAATGTTGGACTGTAATAACCACAATTTTTGAACGTAGTATCAAAACACCAACACATCTCCATGCCGTAGGCCTATCATGACGGTGCCTCGCTCCTGCAAAGATGCCCTGCATAGTCAGGAAGCTCGGAAAAACCAACTTTCTTTGAAGGCCTACCACCAAACAGTCGACGAGTTTTGCCAATCCAGTGACAAATTCACTATTAATTTTAGTTCCAATAAACTTTTCAATTATTAACTATTACGCATGTATCAGGGCTGCTTTTAAGATGGAAGCAAAAGATTTTAGAGTTCTGAATTATGGGGGAAAAACAATGAGGGAGAGAGAGAGAGAGCTAGACGCAAGGGCACTTTTGTAACATTTTAGGGCACTTTGGTAACCTCCAACAGGGCACTATTGTAACATAGGGCACTATTGTAACATAGGGCACTATTGTAACATATGGCACTAATGTAACATTTTAAGGCACTTTCGTAACATCCCTTGGGGCACTTTTGTAACCTTACAAAGGCACTTTTGTAACCTTAATTACAACAGGAAGGGCACTAATGAAATATCGAGTATTGCATTGTTTATTGTTTTTATTTGCCTCTGACCGTTTAAACAATAGTTTGGGTATAACTTGGTTGCTTTCTTTTCAAGAATGCTTCTTGTACACACAGCCTGATCCAATAGCTTTAGGAGAATTCAAAAGTATATTCTTTTACCCTCCACAGCAGCTTCAGTTTCCATTACGAACTTTAAAATTCTCCCAATTCTGTCAGTTTTATTACCAAGACATGAGTAAATAAAAGAAAAGGAGAGCTGTATAAACTGAGTATGATTATTTTTGTTCAGTAATAAGCAGTTCTGAATAAACAGGATACCAAATTGTTCAAGTGCCTTGAAATGATCAAGTCCTAATTTCTCCTTGATGCACAGCCATTTTTTTATAGTAGTTCAAACCAACATACTGATCAGTAAAGGCAATTAAGGAAACTGAACTGATGATCCATCA